AATGCATTCCTATGGGAAATGCAGATTTGACCTGAGAACTTTTTGACTTGAGAACCGCCTTCCAATACGGATTAAGTTCTCAAGTCAAGACCCCACTGTATTAACGAGTCGGTTAATGTGAATAAGTAAATGCAACACCTGAATAAGCAAACGTGTAATCAAATATAAGAAGTTTAATGAGTGATCCTAAACACTAATACAAGAACATCTGTGATTTAAAAATCAAAATATAAATAAACAAGTTATATTGGCAGCATGCGTCTGATGCATATATGGTGCAGTGTGGATGAGACATCCACTGGTGGTAGCAGAAGAAAGAGTACATGTATCCAGAGGGTGAACCTGTGGTTGGGGGAAACAAACAGGGAACACTGGGTGGAATGTCACAATGGCACTGAATGCTTTACAACATTCTTTAGTTTAAGAGGAGTGCATTTTATCACCGTTGTCTCAGATAGAACTTAGGTGGGTAAGTCCCATTTTAGATTTGGACAGAGCAAGGCCAATACCCCAAGATCACCTGGACATCCTTGGTTGAGCTAAAATATACCTGATGCCATTTATGCTCAGTTATAGTGACTAATATGGACAGTTGGCAACCAGAGATCTGATTCCATACTCAGTACAGTTCTCAGTACATATTCTGCAGTTAACTCTTTTTCCTGTGTGTAGCTTCCCACAGAAAATCTTCAGTGTAATCACAATGTACATGGCTCACAGGCAGTTATTTTCATGTTCATGGACAATGGAAAGAAATCTCACTTTGATCATGGCCAGGACTGCTCATGCCAATTGCCCTCCTCTCAGAGTATGTTGAATGCGTGTTATGGCAGAACCTGACTTCAAGCTGAAGGCTTTCTTGGTCTGTGAGAAGACTGAACAGAGAACTCACGGTGGGCTTTCATATGTAAAAGCACCTGTGCAGACTTGAGTTATATGAACTATAGAGCAGGTAGGCTGTATTATACACCAAACAAGCTTATATTTGGAAAGAAAAGCACCACATTATTGAAAAACTACAATGGGCTTAAATATACTGTATACTAAGTATAGCATTGAGAAGAGTATTGAGCAGTATTTTTTAAAATGTTGAAGCTAATTTGTAAAGTAGCATATAATGAAAAAAGAGAGGCTGCCTACCTATAACCATGGTTCTTTGAGTGGTCCTCTGTGAAATACATAATATATATTGCAGTTGTATTGATTCTGTTTATTCTTATGCAGTTTGTTCTGTGTTATTCACATCTGATCTGTTGATTGTATAAATAAAATCAATCACGGATCACTTGCTGCCAGGGGGCTCTGGTCCTGCAGGAGATTACTCAGAGGATCCTGCAGGAATCACATCACACCTCCCCACTTGCCCCCATTCCCTGCAGCACATCTGCTCTGCCCCTGGGGCACAAAGCCACGTGAAATTGACCTTCTCCCTCCCACCCAGTAAAAAGAAAAGAAAGTGGCCATCTGTGACCTCAGGGCTGCCTCTCAGCCTCCTCAGTGCTCCTGCCACATCCTCTCCATTAGGCTGCTCGTCAGCCCATACCGCCTCTAACACACGCTAATTGTTCCCCGCACACTGCTCTACTGTGACGCCACCATCCAAACAAGCCAGCCTATACCAAGAGTTCCCCGTAATGTCCTCTCCTCAAACAAACACCGGGCAGCTGAGTCATGTGACATGGCAAGAAGGCTTGCCAGCAGAGGCAATGTTGTACTCTGGGCAATGTACTGCTCAGAAACCATGGGTGCTGGCATTCATGTGGATGTTACTTTGACATGTACCTAGAGGTAGTCCCAGACTACATCTACCTTTTCATGGCAATGGAGTTCCCTGATGGCAGCAGCCTCTTTTAGCAGAATAATGCACCCTCCCACACTCCAAAAATTGGGAATGGTTTGAGAAACATGGGAAGGAGTTCAAGCTATTCCCTTGGCCTCAAGATTCCCCATATCTCAATCCAGTTGAGCATCTATGGGATGTGCTGGAACAGAAAATCTGATAGATGGAGGCCCCACCTTGCAACTTGCAGAACTTAAAGGATCTACTGCTAATGCCTTGCTGCCAGATACCACAGGACACTTTCAGAGGTCTTATGGAGTCCATGCCTTGACACATCACAGCATAACAGGGATATACATGATAACAGGCAGCTGGTTTTAATGTTGTGGCTGATCAGTATACAATAAATCAGTGCACTTTTAATTTTTTTGCTAGAGTTCTGCATTAAAACGGGGAGAGGTAAAAAAAATTTACACTGTTCTAAGTTGGATTTACTATTAGTTGTTGTTATGTGCCATCAAGTCATCTCCAACTATGGTGATTCTATGAATGATGTCTAAAATACCTTCTCATGATGTGCTCCAAAGTAGGACAACCTCAGTCCCAACATTTTTGCCTCCAGACATAGTTGAGGCTTGATTTGCTCTGGGGCCACTTGATCATCTTTCTGACAGTCCAGGGTATCCACAAAGCTGTCCACCAGCACATTTCAACCAAATCATTTTTTCCTGTCAGCTTTCTTTACTGTCTAGCTGTCTAATACATAATAATAATCATGTGCTGTCAAGTCAGTTCCGACTTATGCCAACCCTTTTCAGAGTTTTCCAGGTAAAGAATATTCAGGCAAAGACTGAATTTTACCAGTCCTTTCTTCTGTGGATGCCCCGGGATGGTGCAGCTTGCCCATGAACGCGCAAGCTAGCTTTACTTGCAGGAAGCACAAAGGGGAACCAAATTTCCAATCTCTGACTTTTCAGCCAGATACCCATACATAGTGATTGGAAATACAAGAGTGTGGAGGTTTTTGGTCTTGGACTCCAGTGATACATCCTAACACTTGATGATCTTTTCTAGTTCCTTTATTGCTGGCCTTGTGAGTCTCCGTCTTCTGATTTCTTGGCTGCAGTCTCCATTTGGATTGATGGTTGAATCAAGGTATACAAAACCTTTAAGTATTTCTGTTTCTTCATTGTCAACATAATTCTTGTGGTTTTTCTGTAATCATGATTACGGTCTTCATATTCACTGCAGTCCTGCTTTGGCACTTTCTTCCGTCTATAATAATCATTTCAATTTTATTTATTTATTTATTTATTTAATATCCCACCCATCTAATCAATAGACTACTCTGGGTGGCGTACAACATATAAAATAAACAATTTAAAATATAACAATAATAGTTGTAGTAGACTAGCAGAAATTTATTGGGAGATGAAAACAGACGCAGCTCAGAATTATTAATTGTTTAAAATCTGAGTAAAACAAAGATTTAGTCTAACCACTGAACACCACAGGAGGGAGCTAAGAAACATTCAGAAAAAAAATAACAAATTTACACACAGTTTGGGTGAAGCATGGATTATATTAAACAATAGGATAGAAGGTTCAGGACTGAAAACTACGGAAGACATAATTAATTTAATACGTCTGGAACAATTTTATAGAGCAATTCCTTATGAATATAGATGGCATATACAAGATGAAATGCCCCAAACTGTCTCTCAAGCCACAGAAATAACTGATCGGTTAGTGATCCTGATAGAATTTAAGTGGGAAGTGGAGGTCATGCATGAAACACTACCCTTCTGTTTCTATCACCAGCAAATGGTATTGAAAGACACATGGACCGGAATCATAACTGAGGTTCATGTAAGGTTTCTGTAATTTAACTGATGTGATGTTGAGGTGACATCACATGTCTGGTCACACCCCGCAATTGTGCAACAGAGATGAGCCCCAGCAACTCATCAGCTGCAGCAAATTACATAGATGCCAGTAGGATCTCAGCCACTGCTTCCAATACTGGAGGTAATACAGAGTTGTCCTGACTAGTAGCCATTGATAATGTTATTCTCTGTGAATTTGTCAAATACTGTACCACTTTAAAGTGGAGCACGATGGTGCAAAAGTGCCCCCTTACATCTTTTACACTTTATTTCAGAAGTGGGCAAAGTACTTTCCTCCAGATGGCATTAACTGCAACTTCTAGCAGTCCTACCCAGCAAAGTCAAGGGTGAGAGAACATGAGCATCTTACAGGCAGTGAATGCCGACAGCTGGGTTAACAAGAGTGGCAAGATAAATAGCTTTTCCCACCTTGCCTACCTTCCCACAGAGGTTGCTGCTTCCCCACTGAATTGGGACTTGGCCAGGAGGCAGCAATTCCAGGAATGGAAGCCAACAACATTTGGGTACCTCAGTCTGGGACGCAGACACCCTATAGACCAAGTACAGTGGGGTCTCTACTTAAGAACTTAATCCGTATTGGAAGGTGGTTCTCAAGTTGAAAAGTTCTTATGTTGAATCTGGCTGTTTTTTTGTTATGTAGAGGTGCGTTCGTACATTGAAGCATTAGTTCCCATAGGAACTAATGCAAAGCTGGTTAATACGTACTCTACCACTAGGGGGAGAAATTTTTTTTAACCTAAGATGACCTAAGGTTAAAAAAAAAGCAGGAAAGTTTTTTTTTTCCTGTTCTTATCTTGGATTTCTGTTCTCAAGTAGAAGCAAAATTTAGCAAATGGAGCTGTTCTTAAGTTGGATTGTTCTTAAGTAGGGACGTTCTTAAGTAGAGACCCCACTGTATTGACAGATCATTTCACGCTGCCACAGGATCAGCAATCCGGTCATAAACACATTGGACTAAATCCAATTGCTAGCTTCTACTGGAGTAGATCCATCTGTTCTAAGAAGGACTAGCAATAGGATTTAAGCCTTAAGGCTTTCCTATAGCTTTTACACCAAGAGGATATACAAACGAACTGAAAAGTCTAGAATCAAAATTATCAGAGTAATAAAAGAGTATGTTAATACTGGAACACATTTAATGTAAATCGAGGTAGTAAAGAATAGCAAGATCTTCCGATGTTCTCCACGTGAAACTATTGCTGCTGACCTCACAATGGATCGCATTAATTCCCTATCCTGTTAATATACATCGACCAGTATGACGGTGAAAAGCCTTTAAGGACGCGATGCCACCGTTCTAACGAGATTTTCACGTGGCCCGGCAGCCGAAAGGAAAAGGCAAACGACGGAGTGATTGGCAAGGCCGGGCAACGGATGCCTCTCAAGGCGCTGCTCCTCCGCGATTCCGTTTCTTTACCGGCGCCCGACCCGGCGTTGCCACGCTGCCCGCCCTCCCCGTCGCGCGCCCCCGGAAAGAGGCGCCGCCGGCCGCCTCGCGGGAGGGTTCCCCAAGCGCGCCAGGCGGGGCGGGGCAGGGACTTCCCTCCCTTCTGGGGGAGGGGGCGGAGAATGTGGGCGGGGCTTGGGCCACAGCCGGGTCTCCTGGGCAGGAGGAGGAGGAGGAGGAGGCGGGCCCGGAAGTTCCTCTGCCGGCGCCGCTCTAGCTCGCTCGACCAAAGAGCTTCCGGCTTCGAGGAGCGTCGGGTGTTTGGCGAAGGTTGTTGGTGGGTCAGGCAGGCAGGCGGGCGGGCAGGCAGCTGCAGCAGGCGCTTTCGCCCCGGTCTCCCCTCTCGCTCCCTCGCTCGCTCTCCCGGCCGGTCTGAGGAGCGGTCGAGGTCGTGGCCGGTCTCCGGGCAGAGGCGGTCTGCTCCGCCCCGCGGTGGAGCGGCGTGCTTCCCGGACTCGGCGGCGGCCCCCGCGGACCGTCCTCCCGCCGCTTTCTTCCCGCTCGAGACCATCCCGGGTGACCGAGAAGCGAGCTCGTTGAGCCTTACCTGCGAGGAAGCCGGTGGGCTCGTCAGAGGGAAGAGCCCCGGCGGCATGGATGCCCGCTGGCTTTAGGGCATCCTCGGCGCCTCCTTTCCCGTGCTGTGTCATGTGTAAAGTGCGTGGGGGGGGGATGATGGTTTGCGCTCCGGTCGCCTATACTGTATGTGCTTCTGGTTTGCGCTCCGGTCGCCTGTACTGTATGTGCTTCGGATGGGATCCTGAAATAGCTGCTTCGCCGAGATGAAGCGGCGTTTCCTTTCTCAAGCGTTGTTGTCGTTCTTTTCCCCTCTCCTTTCCAGCCTATGTTGCTCAAAATGGAAGAATCACGCGTCTGCGAGTTGGGAACGGGCAGCCGAGATCAGCTGAGGAACCGCAAGTGCTCGGAGCGGAACCCGGCGCTGCAACTCCCAGAGACACGTTGCGGGGGCCCAGAAGATGCGGGGCCCTTGGAGGAGGTGGAGGATTACCTGGCCAGGAACGGAAAGCTGCTGGGACCTCTGTTCTCGGCTCCAGAACTGCGAGAGGAGACGCCAGGGAGCGAGGAGACCCGCCTGGACTCGCCGGATGGCCAGCAGGACCCGGAGAGCGAGAAGAGTAAAGAGAAAACCTTAGGTATGATGATGTTGTGGTGGTGGTGGTAGTGCCCTGAAGGGAAGCACTTTTGCTCTCCCTCCTTGAGAAGAGCTGATTTAAGAAGCAAAGCTTTTTGATCACCTTCTTTACGATTAATTTGTTGCCCAGAAAGCAACTTTGCATATTATCTTTGCATAATGATTTGTACAGTATCTGTAAAGCATAGCAGCAGTGCATTTAGAACAGCCCGTCTCACCCTTTTTTTTTGACCATGGCCGTAAACACGACATGCTTGTATAAGCTGCAGGATGAACTTTCTAAGGTGGTGTGTAAAGAATTGTTTTCAGTCTGTGGGCCCCTTCAGATGTGCCAGCCCCTCTGCCCAGGCCACAGGCCCCGGCCCCCAGTTGATAATGGCTGCTTTGGAACACCTCATGTTCTGGCAATGCTTCCTAAATTCTTTTCTTATTGGTCTGTAGGAAAAGAAGTACTGTTATTGATGCAAGCTTTAAACACTCTTGCTACTCCAGAAGAAAAGTTAGCAGCACTCTGCAAGAAATACGCTGATCTGGTAATGTGGACCACCTTTAAAGTTACACGTGTGCTTGGCAGTTGCAGATGAAGTGGCTTATAAATATGCATTTTATTGCTATGTTGCTTTGAACGCCTATGTAATTTAATGAAACAACGTGCAGGATTTATTCCAATTTCTTTTTGAGCACACAAGTTTGGTAAATGATCATGGCTAACCAGTTGATGTAAAGCCGTTCTTTTGTGGAGACATCTTTTCCCTCACTCTTTGCTGTCAAGGGTAGAAACAATGAGAGCGTGATCACCCGTTGCCCTGTACGTGAGGTTTTGACTACTGACTTACCTTAAAAGCCCTGTTAGGGTCCCTATAATTTGGTTCCTGTGGGGATCCCTTTATCAAGGGATGAAGAAAGACGCGGAGACAAGCATGGGGGAAGGAATTGTTCTGCCCTCCTTATAGTGGGAGAGTTTTATTTATAATCATCTTAGGACAGGTGTAAGACTAGGATTGGTTAAGTTTTGGTGCAGTGTTGTTAATGATCGGCTTACTTAAAGTAAATTGGTGACCATGCGCCTGCCTCATGCAGGGTGCATGCTTGGCTCATGAATCAGGGGTGATTGGTACCTTCACATGGTTTGCCAGTGCTTTGGTAACTGTACAGGTTCCCACTTGATGGCAGTGCTAAAGATTTTAAGATTCTTATTGGGACAACAGGAGAAATCAAGGTTGGTGGAGACTCAAGATACTTTCCATAGGTACACTGTGAATTTTGGATGGAAGTTAATTCAGACCTTTGGGTGGTATAACCTGGTGATTCAGCTTCGCAGTTTCTATTAGCTGTAGGCCTAATAGACTTGATTCTATTTCTGGGAGGGTAAAGTAATTTAAGTGTAATGATTTTATAGTTATATATAATATTGGCTTCATCGTGCTTTAGTCGTGTCCGACTCTTCGTCACCTAGTAACTGGTATAACAACATTTGACCTCCATCCCACCCAGGCGTTTAAGTATCCAAGGAATAGTTGACTGGGATAGCAGTGAGCTGCAAAACATGCCCTTAGAGTTGTTCTCTCCACTCTATTAAAAAATGTTAAAAAATGTTCTCTAAGTTGGAAACACTGAAGTATAATTCTCCATTCCTTTATTCATATGGTCTATTTTGTATCGTAAAACTCTGTTTGTAGTTTAATATATGTGGAGTCAGTAGATATAGATAGAGAAGAAACTCAGTGTCAAATTATTTTGTCACAGAACGCATTGTCCTATCTTTGATCATTTCTCTTATTTAGTTAGAGGAGAGCCGGAATGTTCAAAGACAGATGAAGATGCTGCAGAAGAAGCAGGCGCAGGTTGTCAAGGAGAAGGTCCACTTGCAGAGTGAACATAGCAAGGCCATTCTTGCACGCAGCAAACTGGAGTCTCTTTGCCGTGAGCTTCAACGTCACAATAAAAGTTTAAAGGTAAGTTTGGGATGATGGTGTATGACAGAAATATTGCGACAGTTTCCCAGAAAATATACTGGCTGTATGAAAGATTCTCTGAATTGTGTTCTAACAGCAAAAGAGAAAACAGAGGCGTTTGTGATTAAATGGCAGTGTGGACTGTGCAGCACTGAGTTAGTGTCTTACTTGATAATACAGTATATAAGAGCAAAGAGGACTTTAAGCAGTTGATGGGTTTCTGCATTGTTCCAGGACATTCTACATACCGGTGCTGTAGTTTGTTTTATACCAAGATCAGGAAGGATCCTTGATGTGGGTTCCGTTCAACTAAAAATGTTTCAATCTAAACCACACTTAGTGGTTTGATTGAATATCAAAGGTACTGATGATAAAAATTATAGACCTAGAGAGTAAGAGGATAGATCTTTGGTGACCAGAAGGACTGGTGCTTTTGCCCAGGAAGCTTGTGAGTGAGCATGAAGGAAGTGTTGAGAAAATAATACCCTTCTGAGTGGATTTCCAGTAGTTTCTGAGAGCGTCCTTCCACTGTAGGAGGAATAAAGCTAAATGCTGCTGTGTTATTAATAAATAGTCTGGGACCCCAAGTCTGAGACTGGTTTCGATCAATAATTCTCGTTAAAAATGTTAGCTTTATAGCTGTGTACATCCATAAATGAGTATTTCCTTTGTATTGTGGGCAATTACAGTGGTTCTGAAGTGTTAATATTTTAGGTCTATTGTAACTGAAAAACACGTGATTGAAAATAAGTAATAATATTTTGGTGTTAACTGGTATATATGTTGTGCTGACCGCAGATTATTTCATGATGATTCTATTACGCAAAGTACCTGTTGCTTCCGGAATATTTTCTATGCTGCCTGATACTATATTATTCAATGAAATTACTTAGATTAGCCACAGACAGAATAAATGTGCTTCTTGGTTATGTAGCTAGAACAAGCATTGGCTGGGTAAAACATGAGCACTTCTTAGTCCCTCCAAACATAAACTAGCTTTCATCACAAATAGGTCTTATTTCCAAAGAGGCCTATTTATAAGCAGCATTATCTTCCGTGTTTCAATCCCACAATCACTACTGCTGTAGTAAAGAAACTGTAGTCTAGTGGTGATCGTGTCACAACAAATAGAAACTACTAAGAAGCTTCTGGGGATTGGTTTAGCGAGCATTTGTGGGTCTGGCGAGTGAATTGTAGCAGGGATTTGGATGCATTGTGGTTCCAAGGTGATACTAATAGACATTTCCTCATTGATGGCCAAAGGCTAATTGAAAAGCTCATCGATGAAAGTGTATTTATTACTCTCTTTGGATAAAAGGAAGAGAACATGCAGCAAGCCCGCGAAGAGGAGGAGAGGCGTAAAGAAGCAACTGCACACTTCCAGATCACACTAAATGAAATTCAGGCTCAGTTGGAACAGCACGGCATACACAATGCAAAGCTCCGTCAGGAAAACATTGAATTGGGGGAGAAACTGAAGAAACTCGTAGAACAATATGCACTGAGAGAAGAAGTAAGTAAACTTTTAATGTAATTCTTCTTAGCTTGGTGTGCAAAAACATCTACAGTTCTCTAGACAAGCCCCTCCACTCATGCAGCAACATCTCCTCCCTGTTGCATGCCCACTGAAACAGTTTTGTGGGGTACAAGTTAGAGCTGTAGGATCGGGCAGGTTCCCTTCAGTTTATACAAAGCTTAAGTACAACCTGTCTTTTTCTCATGTATCTTTTGGATTCCATGTTTTAAAAATTTTGTGGATTGGAACTATATCACTTGCTTGTGGCGTTTCACCTTCAGTTGATAGCTAATTATTTTTACTTTGATATATTTTTCTCCACAGTAATTAGTGGTGATATGCTGAGATAAAGGGAATGTGCTGCATAACCAAAAAGCACATTTATTCTGTCCGTGAGTCACCTAAATAATAATATTGGGTCTGGCATCACAGGATATATTCATGAGGCAACAAGCGTTGTACACAGTCAAGTTACCATGAAATAATCTGCAGCCCACATAGCATACACATCAGTTACCATGTGTTAAACAATGCATTTTTCAGTTACAGAAATTCTAGCCTGTTACACCTAGAACTATTCTAACTGTGATCTTGCATTTTCTGCTCATCCAGAAATGGATGCTGCTTATATCAACTTAGAAACAAATGTTTGGTATGTAGAAGTGTTGTAGATAATTTTTCCTAGTTTTCAACAGTATATTAGTCCTTTTACTTTCTTTTAAGAGTTTAGAGGTGGCACATAGGACCTTTCTGATCCTCATAACGGTATTGCAAGATCACATAGGCTAGTACGAATTTCTCACCGCCTGGATGCCAATATGCTGTAAAACTCTAATCTCTAAAGGATTAGAAATCTTCCTGCCCTCGATACCCTTCTATAGTAACTGCATATTGTCTTATTTGTTGTGCACCCTGTTCCAGGCAGTCCTGGGAAACTCCCAGAAGCATTATTTGTCTTGTAAATGCGGCATGCAATCACGTTCTTTCAGAAAATGGGTACAGTATTTCCAAGGCATGTGTGTCTTATTTATAATACCTACTGTATAGAAGAGGTGTTAGTCTTGAGAACAAAGCACATGTGCCCCACCCATCATGTTCTCATCCAAATAATTTCTTTTGCCACTGCAGCAAGTTCACAGATGGAGGTTGGTGGGCCTGTAAAAATTGAATTAGAACTATCTGTGAATGGTGGTACTTAGAGTCATCCATTCCCTTCATATAGGTATTTTCACCTATGCTTATATTGTCAATTCTGTAGTGTCAAAAAGGTCTGTATTGTAATTTTTTTCTTGATTTTTAAATATTTACATATTCAAGTTCTCCCTGCTTGTATTAAGGACACCCTCTCCTCACTTCGATTTTTACATTATATTCTCTTATACCTTTTCTTAATCTATGGACGTATTGTAATTTTTTTCTTGATTTTTAAATATTTACATATTCAAGTTCTCCCTGCTTGTATTAAGGACACCCTCTCCTCACTTCGATTTTTACATTATATTCTCTTTTCTTAATCTATGGACATACATCAGCTATTAGGAAAAATTCTTTTTAAAAATATAGCTTTTTATTTTTTAAATAAATGGTTTTAAATATATATTTTTTAAAATTAAGTAAATAATTTTTAAATATTTGTAATAAAGCCTTTAGATTTTGTTTCTGTGCAGATTACACTAATTCAGTGAAGCACTGGTTGTGTAATAGTGCACTTATATGTGTTCATTCACATCTGAGCCCCATCTGTCACTGGGCCTACTTCCTATTATTTTAAGCCGGAACTAGCAGCAACTGCTTCTGTAACAGAGGCAAATTAATATAAATCTAAACTTGCACGTTTATTCAGAATTCGTGCCTGCCGAAATTTACTCCAGTTAAGACAGGCCCTCGCTAACCTCTCGCCCATACTATCTTGACATTTGTGGGGTAGGTAGAATTCATGAGGGCCAAATGCTGCGCTGATAGCTAGAGGAAACCTTCCTGTCAGGTACCCTCCCAAAATTTGGATTAAACAGTACTCCGAAGGATTCACCAAAAATCCATGAAGTTAAGCATCTTGGCTGTTACACCAACCCCACAAGAGAGGAATACCAAAAAATACCCACAAAACACACAGGCTCCTGATACATGGTTAAGGCAAGCCTTGTTTTAGTACCACCAACCCTCTTCAAAATAACCAGAGTTTTAAGCATTTTATATTTTATTGAGGTGGTAAAAAGTAAAAAGAGCAAATCTTAAAAAGCACTTTCAACAGTTACAGAATAGTTAAGAACTGTGGAGCAAAAATGGTAAAAAAAATTGAAGGAAGAATTTGAGAACAATCCCATGGGAAAACAAAAATGGTAAAAAAAATTGAAGGAAGAAGAATTTGAGAACAACCCCATGGGAAAGTAAGAAAATTAACTAACCTATGCTAATACTTACATCCTGGCATAACTTGAACATCATTCCAGAGCATATATGGAATATATGTCTTGTAGCACAGCAGTAGATGAACATAGGAGAACACTAAGAGAAAACTAGGCTAAACTGAGTAACTTCTCTTCCTATTTTTATGCCCAAAATTCCATTTTCCAGATTCTTCCGGAAAATCTGCCAAGTATAGTTTCCCCAAGCATTTATGAAGAAGAGAGTAACTCTTCTCCTCTCAGCTGAAGCCATGAACTCTGTACAAGGCATGAGCTCAGTGTGGCCTTGAAGTTTCCATTCTCACAGAGATAAGGCACAGGTGTTACCGCCTTTCAATTAACAGTGGGCACTTTCTCTCCTTTCTCCTAGGCATGAACTTGCAGGCCTGATTTTTTTAGAAGACACTTGACACTACCTAAGTATACTTTATTAGCAGTAAATAATCTTTTCACAAGAAAACTCATTTCAAACTTTATTATAAATGGTGTCCCATTTTCCAAACATAGTGTAATGGACAGTCCAGAATAAAACTGCTCTGTTAAATACATGCTCTTTTTGAGAACCGTTAATGCTAGGTATTTGTTGCATTAATAGTAATGCTCTTTTTTTTAGCATATGGACAAAGTCTTTAAGCATAAAGAATTGCAACAGCAATTGGTTGATGCGAAGCTTCAGCAAACAACGCAGCTTATAAAAGAAGCTGAAGAAAAGCACCAGAGAGAGAGGGAGTTTGTAAGTGTTTCTCATCTAGTGTAAAGGATATAGATAAATTTCACTCTGTTAGTAGATTGGTGTAATTATGTTAAACGTCTTACTTTTAAAGCAAAATGTACAGCATTCTATTTAGATGTTTCTGGATAGTGTTTAATAACTTTTGAAGAATTTGCCAGGTCTTACCATTATCAATGACTATTATACATAAAAAGTTTCTTTGGAAGGGATAGCTTGATCCTTTGGTGTTGTAGGGATGCAGCATTAATGCTACAGTGTTAGATACATTTGTAACAATATGATACTTAGCCACTGCCTGTCTGAGCTTAACAGCTGTACAAAGTGCACCTTATAACATATATGCCAGGGGTAGCATGCCTTTGGCACTCAAATGTTTTAGACTACAAATCCTACAGTCCTTTATCATTGGCACCACAGGCTTTGGGAACTGGAAGTCCGAAACATCTGAAAAGCCAAAATTTCCCAACTCCTTGCACATACTTTTACTTAAAAAAAGTAGATTTGCTAAACTTCAATGCCTGGGATACATAACTTCTTGATGCAGTAGAATGGGATAAATATGCTAATATATTGGCTTCCATGGTTATGGACAAATGTCTTAGTTTCTTACTAAGTTATATAAGAATATTTAAAAAATATATGTGTAATGTAAACCCAGTAAATTGCTGCATGTTAGTTTTAAAGCTGGGGTATTTGAATTGAGGCATATCTGAACTTTTCTCAATAAATACTTCAGTTACGGATTTGTACAGGCTTAACGGGTATTAGGTATTCTAGAAACAATATGTTTTCTTCCTGTTCAGCTGCTGAAAGAGGCTAATGAGTCCAGACACAAATGCGAACAGATGAAAGAACAAGAAGCTCAATTAAAACAACAGGTAAACAAATTTTAATGTTTATTATGTTAAGAGTTTTAATAAGTTAGGTGTTATATTGGTTGGAAACGTAACTTTAAACATTTGAGAATATTTTTGGAACTTCATATTATAGGAAAAAAGTTGGTTGGCCTAAAAGGATTCTTTGAGGAAGAGGATTTAAACAGTTGAATCATTGTCTGCATATAACATGCCGCAGGGCAGGTTTACAAAATATTTTTTCTGCAACGTGATTCTTTAGGCTATAGTGCTTAAGCTTGTGAAATTAACAATGGATATTCACCCAGTTCACTATTCTTATGTCATGTTGAACAAGTCTCCTAATTCAGATTCCCTTGCAATGTGGTGATTCCAATCGTAAGAATAATGTCTAACAAGACAATTGTTTCTATGAGCCTGAAGACATTTAAGGAATTCCCGTGTTACAGGACTGTTCCAGGCCTCTTTTGTTATTGTCAGCAGCTCCTTTTGTCAAATACATTAAGCAAGAAGTGTTTGCGATTCTTTCTTTGACAAAGGCAAGCTCTATAATTGTTGGGAACAGTCTTGTAGGTTGGGAATGATGCACAGTATTAAAACACAAGATTCAGTACACATTAGCTTGTTTTCTGTTGGATGGCTCACTTTGCAGCCAAGAATTCTATCATTCAAATGGTGGTTTATTGGAAGCTCTAAGTGTAACGTGAAAAAGAAGTAGCACAGTTCAGTTGAATTGGAAAGCAGGAAATGGGCAGCAATGCACCTGTCTATTTTAGGAGTGTGCGAAATGTTCCCTCCATATCTCCAAAATCAAAACATTTTGCTCAGAAAGTCTCCTTTTGCTGTGTTCGGTTCCTCATCCCCTCAGTGTCTGTGTATATGAAAAATATTGGTCCGTAGAAGGTATAAGGGTGCTTTTTCAATAAAAAAAGTGTGAAGTTAAACCAGTTTTTTGAGTTAAGAAAAGCCTGTTGTCACCAACTTACCTAATAATAACATGCAAATGAACCTCTTTGGTCATATCCCTGCCCCATGGAAGTGTGGTCCCTAGAGTGAAGGGAGATTTGAAATAATGGCCCTCTGCCATGCTGAGATCCCCGACTTCCTGGCTTAAAATTCAAAACTAGGATATTTAAGGAATTTCATCATTCTTTGCTTCACGTCTAGCATGCATCACCGATGCTCAAATCATAGTGCTCAAAATGCTAGCCCCAAATTTTTTTTGCACGGTACTAGGTTTCCTCAGCTTCATGCCATCCACATATTTTGGTACATTGTGTATCATCCCCACCAAGAATAACCAGTTGTGGAGGACAGTTGCCCAAAATATCTAGAAGGATCCAAGTTTGGAAATAAATTGGTATCCCTTGAATAAGAACCAGATATTTTGCTCCTTTGGCTATTTAATAGAAGCAGAAACATTCAGTGTTTGCTTTAGAAGATACTGGACAGGCATGGACACCAGTGGTGATAAAGTTAAAAACTAGAGTGAATGAGCCTACATATGTACAAATTCTAATAAAATCAGAAAACTTCTGATCTTTACATGGGTGTTTTAATTTGTGTGGCGTGTGTTTAATTTGCATGGCATTTTCTGGGGTTTTTGTTTGTTTTTGTCTTTTGAAGACAATCTAAATCCTGTTGACGTAAGCCATTGCAGTAGTCCTTGTGGAAGCAACGCTTGATGTTTTACTCCTTACACCACAGTGGATTTCCCAGTTTGTGGCTTACTGTATCATATAGATACCCCTAACTGTTGTTTTCTTCAGCTTTCTCTTTATATGGATAAATTTGAGGAATTCCAGACCACAATGGCAAAGAGTAATGAACTTTTTACAACGTTCAGACAAGAAATGGAAAAGGTACTTGACTTACACTTTTTTTGAAACTATACTCATTTACAATGGGGAGATAAAAAGCAAGCCCCATTGGGCTTAACTGAGATGTCCTTCTGTGCAGATGTGTGTAAATTACTGTTCTTGCTAAATATACTGCACAGTGCAAAATTTTGAATAATTTGTCACTGAATCTGATACACATTGGGAAAAGGTGATTGTACACTTTCAAAATTTGACAGATTAAAGTAAAATTTGTTTTCTTTCACTCTAGTCCAAT